TATATATATAAAACTTACTCTTCCAGGCTCTTCCTCTTAGCCCTTCTCATTTTCTTTGATCTTATTTAATTATACTCCCCCTCTATCAAACGATGGTAGTGGTATCATACGGTTTTCCTGAGAGTCAGGTTAAAGTACCATGCTTGAAATAGTGCTGGCTGAGCTGTATCATGCTAGCAATAGCTGTTTTCATCTCCCTCATCATCATCATTATTTTTACATTGCTCATTACAGTGATCAGATGGAAAAATTTGAGAAAATTCAGTGAAACTTCAATATCTACAAACATCTACTAGCAAATTACCTTTTTGGTCAGGATATCACCTCTGTATAGGTCCTACATTACTGTTTGCCTGGTTGATCTCTATGTTTGATGGTACATTCTATTAAAATTATCTAATGCAAAGTCTGTGCTAATTGAATCTGCTCCAGAGAGATGTATAAAAAATCACAAAATACCCTTTGTGACTGTCACTAACCCACATTGGTTTTATATATATATAATATTATAAATATATATATATAATATATATATATACCAATATATATATTGGTTTTATATATATATATATATATATATATATATATATATATATTAAGTGCTTTAGGAGACAACATCTCTCATTTTGCAAACAAAAGAAATGGGAAAAGGGATGTAATATTTCTTAGCATTAATCTATTAATGGGAATGGAAAATAAGCCTTAGAACTCTAATGCAGGACATGAATAATTGTCTCTTAAAACATTTCAATGTATGATATTGTTTTGACTTGAAATTAAGTTACTCAAATTCCAGGTTCACTCTGACATTAATTAACTGGGGTAATTTGTAACAGATCATGAAATCTTTACCAACCACGGTTTTGTCAACTGTAAAATAAAGAGTATTAACCTGAAAATTAATGTACCCTCCAATTTCAAAATTCTTTAAATCTAAGAGCACATTTTAGAATCATCATTATCTGCAAGACGGAAGAGTAACAGAGGCACTGCAATTCTTCCTCTTTGTAAGCTGAGGAGAATCCATTTCGGTGAGAAGGAGGAAGCATAGCATGTATAATGCAAGAGGGCTTGCATCAATTTAAAGTAAGAGTTTAAAGACGGAAAGTTCAGTTCATTCCAGTAAAGTGTAAGCTAATTAATTTGGAAGCTGATACCCAAATCTGGAAAAAGGTAATGAACTGTGTAAGCATCCAGCACAGTAATCAGGCAGAGTTTGGTGAATAGATGAGAAATCACTGAAATTATCATCTGTGCTAGAGAAAGGTAAGGAGAGACACATTTACTTTTACCAATAATTACAAGTGGTGGATTTATTAGGTATCACACACTTCTCCAGAACTGGTAAGGGCTCTGAGACAGAAGAGGACTGTGCCCAAATCTCCCTCATGAGGCACACACCCAGGCTATATATAACTTGGCAGCCTTCCGGAGTCATAGCTCTTTTCCCAAAATTAGCTCTTGGAGAAACACAGAGAAAAAGATTTATTTCTTTTGGGTCTGTGTTAATTAAATGCAGTCAAAAGACATCAATTGCTTGTCAAGAGTGACAGGACTGTTGCCTCTCAGAAGAGGTATAACAATTAGCTTGTGCCTAATGATTTGAAACACTCTTATACATACTGGGTTATCTGTAGCATACATCTATTTAGGTGGATATATAGATGTACTTACATTGCTATGGAGTGAAGTGTGTCTGCCCCAATTCTTATATTGAAGACTTAACCTCCCAATATCTGGTGATAGGGCCTTTAAACAGGTAATTAAAGTTCAATAAAGACATAAAGGTGGCACCCTAATCAGATAAGACTGGGGTTTTTATAAGAAATCAGAAAGATACTAGAGTCCTCTTTTCTCTATACATGCACAAAGAAGAGGCTGTGTGAAGACAATGCATGAAGGCAGCCATCTGCAAGTCAGCAAGAGAGCCCTCACCAGAACTCAGCTCAGATAGCACCTTGATCTTAGACTTTAGTCTCCAAAGCTGAGAGAAAACAAACACCTATTATTTAAGCCTCTTGTTTGTAGTATCTGGTAGCATTCAGAGTAGACTTTTATATTTATATCACTGTCTATCCAGATCTATTTTCTTGATCCAGTTTGTGCTGCTACAACAGAGTACCATGGGTTGGGTAATTTATGAAGAACAGAAATGTCTTTCTCACAGTTCTGTGGGGTGGGGAGTCCAAGATTTAGGTGTTGGCATCTGGTGTGGGCTACACTCTCAGGGTGGAAGGAGGAAGGTCAAGAGAGACAAATTCTGTTTTGTTACATGGCAGAGAGGCAGAAGAATGAGAATTCACTCTTGCAAGCACTTTGGGAAGTAGTATTAATCCTAAATACCTCCAGTTGGACTCTGCTTCGCCACACTGTTTGATTGGATATCATTTTTTTACTACACATTTGGTGTGTGGGATGGAGGATGAATTGAGACACAGTACCTTATATTATATATCTCATACTTTTTTTATACATTGAAAACTCAACTTACTTTCTTTGTGTATTGCCCTCCCAGTTCTCCTGTATTTAGTGTCTCACAGTGTGGTGTTAACTATGTGCTGATTTTTAGATCCAAAAATAAGGAGCATATGTCTCAAAAGAATACACTGAAACTTAATATGCTGATACTATAGTGTGTGGCTCTCAATCCGAAGGTTAATATTAGAATCCCCCAAGAGGGCTTTTCAGGTTTCCAACTGAACTCCCTCCCCTGGGTGACTTATTAGGATCTTCAGAACAAAGAAGAGAAATGGAATATGGCTTTCAAGCAGCTCACCTGGCAGTGTCTTGCCACAATGCTTCTTTCCTTCATTCCCCTAACTCCCAGAGGAGAATAACTCCACAGGACTGTGGTATTGCCAGATCATAATCTTCAAGACTTAATTATCTTTCACTTAAATGCATGTTTTATCTCCCTAACCAAGTTTCTTGAGTTCAGGTATATGGTTTCTACTCCTATAAGGCATCCCATTGCTATAGAAAGTAAGTGATAATCTCTTGGGTGTGGAACAAACCCATTAGGTTTATCCCAGCATTCTTATCCTAGGGACTCAACAAAACTATCTTCAACCAAGAGGATTAATAGTGCTATGTGCTAGGATGGGGCCTTCCAGACTTAGTTACACTCTTCTGTCATCTGTGCTATCATCCACTGTCTGTTTTTACACCCAATCTACTATGGTCTACTCTCAACCTAGCAGAAAGGGTGGTCCTTTAAAAATATGCAATGGCTTCTCATTTTACTCATAGTAAATTCCAAGACTTAGGGATTCTGTAGTTATGTGCAATGTCCTATAATTCCTACTCAAAACATAGTTGGTTTCAAATCATTGTTTGTAGTTGATCTCCCTAGCAGGTCACATTATATATTGTTGGGCCCAAACAGAGCACATTGTAGTACATTTTAACAGATGCTGACACCCTGCTTGTGAGTTTATTACATCACTCTTCTTAAGTCTTTTGAAATTCATGCATTGAATTCCACCTACCAGGTAGTGTGATTTTTTTTTATAGCTGCTTGGCAAAACTATAAATTCCTTATCTGGCTTGCTCTTCTTACTGTTGAACCAACCAATCAATCTTCATTATATTAACTGTCTGATCCCTGTCTGGGTTTTTATGCTATGAGGTTTAAAATTAGGAATCTCATCTGAACCTTAAGAAATTAAAAATAGCAGATTTGAGAAAGTAGATATTATGCATGAGTCCACTTGGAATAAAAGTGAAGAAAACACAGAATTAATAGCTCAAGGTATTAAAAAACATGAGATTGCACGACATTGCCAAAAGGAAAATAATGGAACTGATTTTCACTCATTTGATCCAATTCCAATTTGAACTTGAATGGAAATTGGCATTTAAGAAGCTGAAATTATCTACAAGTAGGCTTTTCCCTCTAAATCATGGTAGAGAACACAGTTTAAGCAAGACATTTTGATTATAACAATATGAAGGGAAGTGGCATTATAAGAAGCAGTCTGTCTAAATTTATTAGAAGCACATTTTCTTATCTATGTTCACTGTACATGTTCAAGGAAATAAGTTGGGCTAGAAATGGCCCAAATCTCTGATGTGTTATTTTTAATTACTTGCATTATCAGCACATATTTTTTAGTGATTACACTATTACCACCACAACAGCTAAGGTTCTGTAATGTATATAAACACTGTTACTGAGATTAGAATAAACAAGATATTTTAAAATACAAAGAAGAATCAAACAATCCCTGATAAGTTTTCACTGCTTCCAATCTCAAATAATCTGTACTAAAACAGCTGTTTATATATATATATATATATACATCTTTGTTAATGACAATAAAGTTATACAGTGCACAGAAAATGTAAAGCTCTGGTAAAAACAGTTAGAAACCACACAAAACATTTTAAGGCATCTAAACTACAAGTGAGGCATTTATTATCCTGTCTGCTCAGGACCCTTTTCCTTCGTGAGCCAACCCTCCCTCTCTTTGAATAATTTCTTTTTTTTTTTATTTTAAAGATAAAAGGAGGGAAACATTAACAGACATACAACATTTTACAACATATCACAAGCACAATACAGACAATACAGAGTTACAAACAAAGTGGTAGGGAATTAACAATGGTGGTTGTATTACATATTGATATCTTCAAAGTGGCTTCTCATGAAAACAGATATAGATCTTTGAATAATTTCTCTGACTTCCACACCTCTTGGTTCTACGCCAGGCATCACCACTTGGTCTGGACTTGAACTTCCTTTCTTCCTGATAATGCTTTCTTCTTGCCTTCCTTCCTTTGATAAATCAGAGATGAATACCCGAGTTGTCTATTTGGGAGAGGTTTCAGGGTAAGGTTGGGGAAGAGAGAATCAAGAGTGGAAGAAAAGACGTTTTTTTCTTTTTGACAGTGAATTTGAGATACCTGAACTTAGAGCTAGCCGTCAATACGACAGCATGTGAATACATATTTGCCTTTGGAGAAATTATGCAATAACTAACAGAGAATAAAGAGACAGAAGAGTAAGAGTCCCACTAGTGTACAAGATCCTGGTTCCAGTCACTCTTGTCCCTTGTTATAGATCAGTGACATCTGTGTTGCTGTTTATGGTAGTTTAAACCTGAGCCTCCTCACTTGAAACTGAGTTCTAATATATGCCCTGAACTTCTGTTTAGAAATTGTGTGTGTGTTGCAAGCAAGTTCCCCAAAATAGAAACATAGCTGATTAAAGCAAGCCCTGTCTTCTTACTTACTTGAAAAACTTAAACTTTTAGATAATCAAAAAAAAGTGGCATTTAAAATCTGCTGCAGCAGAAATCCAGTATTATAAATGTGATGACAATATATGTTTTTTCTCTTCTAAAGGAAACTTTTGACCATTGGTCAACGTCCTACTTATCCAGTTTCTCAAAATAACTTGGACAGTAACTGCTATTTGTAGTGGAATTTGATCTCTCTCTCTCTCTCTCCCTGTCCACAGAATAACTGCTCAAAAGTTTTCCCTTATTTCCTGTGTTGGGGCCTGAAAATATTTTTCCCAGTTTAAGTTTTAAATTTTTTTTGGTTTCTCTCCAGTACCAGGAATTGAACTCCCGACCTTGCGCTTGCCAGGCAGGCACTGTGCCGCTGAGCTAAATCTCCAGCCCCTTTCTCCTAGTTTACATAAAATGAATATCTCATAAATAAGATTATCAATAGGTCTTCTCCTCTCATTTACAGACTTTGATAACAGTTCCTTGAGTGCAATGCATGCACTACCTTAAATGAGAGCAAAGATTGTACATATTTTTTCTTGGTAGCCATTCACCCCAAATCTGTGTATCCAGTAGCTGAAAGACACCCTTGAACTAATGAGTGACAGGAAGATTGGCAGATCCTAGACAACTCATTTCCCTTTAAAAGTAATCAAGATTTTCTCATCATAGTGCCTCTAATTACATTCGTGTTTCTTCTTTAGAAGCTACTGTTGCCGTGTCATTCACAAATGGCAAAGACGTACCCTTTCTGTTGTGCATGTGTGAGTGTGTGCTGCTTCCTTCATGCCATAAACAAAAGGAAAAAAAGCAATGCTCCTCACTATGCATTTATTTACACTTCACTGTGAGCTGGAAGACACCACATTATGAGATTGATGGATTGGTGAGAGTTGGTGCCAGATGTTGACCATGACAGGTGCATAATAAAAATGCTCTGTGTGGTTTTCCTTCAGAAGTCTAAATATATCTCAAAATAAGGCAAACATCTGCTTGATACTTCTTTCACTGACAAGCTGCTTTAGCTTCTTGAACTGTGATTTTTTTTTAAATTGGGGGCATTATTTTTGTGACATTGTACGTGCTTCATCTATACGTTCTTCACAAGCAAAATGCAAAATTCTAGCACGTGCTTTTAAGCCACTTCACTCACTAAGCGACTGCATTGTTTCTGGCATCCCTGCCATCTGTCTTTGCACTCAGAGCAAAGTTGCAAATGATTAATAAAAACGGAGCAACTCTATTATAATCTCAAGATTACAAAATTGTGGTGAAATCACAAGCACTGCACGGTCAACATTCTTTTCCTTGACATTCTGCCTGTGGTTGCCCTGGTTAGATAGCCTATCACAGCTTTGGGTGGGTAAGTTAAGGGCAGGTATCAAAGCTGTATGAAAAGTAATATTTTATATTTGAAATTGGGGTTTTGCTATTATCCTCACTGGTGTTCACTAGGCAAGTACCATAACCTGACTTTTAAATGGCAAGAAGCTCTACTCTATCAGCTTTGATGATCCTAAGGAAGACCACGTAGTAGTTACCCTTAACTCTGAGTGGTATCTAACCTCAGCTTATCCAATGAAATGGCTGGATGAATGGAGGATGGAGGTCTTCCTTAGAATTCATAGCAGTCAAACACAAACGAGTACATTTCCTGGGCCTGTAGGTGGCAGCACGCGTGGAGCAGGTACAGACTGAGTTGTGGACTGAGGTAGGACAGAAAGGGGAGAGAATCACCATGAGAGGAAATGCACTCCGTTACTTAACAGGGAAAACCGTGGGGCTTTTCAAGACAAACAATCGTCATACAACCCCCAGAGTTCAGTGCTATACTGCTTCTCTTTCGACTCATCCGGATGTTACACATGGTCAAGTACGCCTTGTTTAAAGCGAATTTTATCCTGCACTTTGGAGCATAATGAAATAAGCATTAAGTGTTATGGGAGGTGCATCTGATTTGTTTCAGGTCATTAGTTCTAAACCTGTGGGTCATGTGTGTATTAGGAGAAAAGAGTCTGTAACCATGGTAATAAAACCATGAGCTATCCAGTAACACGAATAAGTTTCCATATTTTAATCCTTCTTTTCCCCACACTGCTATCTGCTGTGAGAGATTTGGTTCTGACTCAGCGACCCCTTGGGCTAAAATTTAGATTTGGTCTTCATGACTTGTGAACGGATGTGCGTGCAGTTGCGCATACTTCTGTCAAACTTTTCACAGATTTGAGCCAATTATCAGAAGAAAAAAAAAACATTTGGTATTTAAAAACATCTTTTACTTTTGAGTCTTCAGCTGTAGGGTCACTCTGTATACCTCCCTCCTCTGCTGCTTTCTACTTAGATTGCTCTGAAGAAAGGACTTGAAGTTTATCATTATAACTTCATTGTGAACTTTAGTGTTTTCATTCTCAGGAATAATTAGACCTTTTTCATTTCAGATTGTGGAACCAAAGTATGTCATTACCCCTTTAAGGACTTCGAAGCTTCTGGGAGTGAGATCAGTTTTCTAGATTGGTTGAAATCATATAGCCATATGCTGAGGGACTCTGGAATTTGTGACACCTGTACACTTCTATTTTTTTGAGGGAGCTGAGGAAGCAGCTGGGCATTGTGAAAAGTACTGGACTTGGAACTGGCCAGCTTTGGCTTTGTTTCCTGGCTTCTTCATCTACTAGTGGTGTCACTGTGGTAAGATATTTAATTGCTCTGAATTTCAATGCCGTCCTCTATAAAATGGCCTCTAACGAGACTTCCATTACCAGGATTGAACATTAGTAGTAATTTATGCTGCGTGAATAACTAGTTGCTACGATGGATGGAAATAAGACAAGCAGAAAACAGTGTGATAAAGGGGGAATAAAGGCGGCATTAGTGACAGTGATAAGCTTTTCTAGGTATTTTACATGTGTTATCTTACTCCAGCTGCACAGTAACTCCATTATTTCCCCATTTTACAGATAAAGAATGGAGGCAAAAGTGCTCAGTCGCTCATTCCAGGCTGCTGAGCTCGCAGCTGGTGACATCCGGAAGCTGTCCCCTCAGGCTGCTCTTGATCCCTGGTCTAGATTATCTCCCTGCTTATGATGACAAACATGGGTATTGGGAGTAAAGTTAGAGGAATGTCAGCCTTGAGAATATTTGACTTTGTGTTCTTGTGATACCTAAAAGTTCACGGAATCACATGAATATGTTTAACATTATCTTATGCACAAGTTTTCCCTCAATATTAAAACAATCAGAATTTTTCCTTTAATGCTTGCTTTTCGTTTTAGTGAACAAACAAAAACACTACTCACTGAAGGCAGTTATGTCCCAGGCGCGATAGTCTGCTCATTAGCCTAGGAGAGCTGAAGGTCTGGAGCATGAAACAAATGCACACGAATGAGTAATTTGAACATAAACGTGGTAAAGAGTGTATCACACATGAATCTGGGGGCTGGGGGAATACGGGGGAGGAGGCCTTAGAGCAACCCAGAGAAAGGAGTTGCTTGCTGGGTGAGATGATACATACACTTGATAATATTTAGATCCAGCTGGACCAAGGGAGGTGGAGAACAGAATAGCAAAAGCAAAATCACGAAGGCAGAAAAGGGGCGTGGGAAGCAAAGACAGTCCACAGAACTGTTAGTCTCTGCCGGAGGCGGAGGCACGTGTTGCAGAGATGTGATCCCGGCAGGCAGCGGTGTTCGGTGCATGGGCTGCCCCGTGTCAGCTGCTGAACTGCTGATTGGCTGTCCTTGTGTAGATAAAGGGAATTGCAGACGGATGATGTAAGAATGAAATGGTCAAGACTCTCTATAACTCCACCTGTGGAAGACAGAAGGTGGAAAGGGGCAGGGTTTATCCCCTTGGTACTCTTACTAACCAACTTCTTTAATGGGAAATTTTTTATTCACTTATTTCTTTCCTTTCCCTTTCTTTTGTTTCTACAACTCAAGGAAGAGGTCCACATTTACTAATCTAATGCAGTAACTTAGGAGTGCTCTTGTCCTTCTTGTGTTCTTTTTTCAATCTTTTGTCTGTAATGCTTACCCCGATTTCCATTAAGATAGAACTTGCCCTTTCTATCTTAGTAATTCTCATTCTCCGATCGACTCTAGAGATTCAGTAACTAAGAACCTGGTGCTTCTCTAGCTATTCTGTAGGAGTTCTCCTAGAAGTGGATAAAAATCCCCAAATCTAAAATCTGAAATTGTATTTCTCTCAGAAAAACCTATGAACACACTGGAACAACAACAACAAAGCAACCCTTAATATCAGGAGACATAAAAACTTGTTCTTCATAGATAGAAGACATGTGTTACCTGCAGTGAAAAAGGGGAAGCTGACCAATTTATGCTGAAAGCTCACAGCCAGTTCCTTGATTGTTTTCTTCTTTACACAGGGCACATGTGGACACTCGCTTCCTCTACTCGGTTCAATCCTACGCAGCAAGTCAGTGATCCCAAGACAGATGAAGAGTGCAGAACAGCTCTTCACCTTTGTCAAACACAGGAATTTGTGAACACTCTGGTACTTTTCAACTGTTCACTTTCTCATTCCCTTCGAAAACCACTGGCAAAGTGAGTCACAGTTCCTGATAAGGGCGGGTCATATCTCTCAGGTATATGTGGGTAAGCAAGGGCTGAGAACTCTACGTACCCTCTGGCAATGCATGCTGGGATATTCAGCAAAGCCCAGTGGAAACCACTAGTATTTCAACATGACTACCATGTCCTTTCTGATTCCCTACTGCCACCATGCTTTCCTTATTCGATAAAGAGGTAGTGACTTAAAATGTACCACAAACCATAGGTTCTTTTACTATTTTGTGAAGGCCAGGGCTATGTCTTATTCATCTTTCTCTTCTCACCACCCCGCGCAGTGCCTGATACGGAGACACAGCCCAACAAAAGCACTACAAAAGGAGTTAGAAGTGATCTTGGGAGGGTCGCAGCACAGTACAAGCAACAAACAAACAACCGAAGGATTTTACATAGTTCTCATTCTTCAGGACTTCACATTTCCCTATGGAAATGTTTGAGTGGGCCTTTGTACATTAAGCATTTGGCTTATTTCGTAATTATTATTCTGTCACCTTATACTTAGAAAACCTAGCATTATGAATAAAACCAATTTGAGACTTCTAAGAAATTGTTGATTTTCAAACACTTGTTTTCCCCCAAACAAATAATGCTCTTTTAGGCATATTTTCCACCCATGGGTTTTAAAAAATTATCATGATGAACTAAACAACAATAATTTGACAGTGAAAACATTTAAATCATGCGTGTTAGTGAAATTCCCGGAGCTGGAAAAGTCAGGTCACTGTGAATGAAGCAATGGATTGAATGTCTGTTGCCAGATGGCAGTTGTAATATAACGGGCTTACAGCCATCAGCCGCAGCTAGAGGTTTGCATGCAAAGGGGAAGCCTTTCAAGTGACGGAAAATGGAAAGCTGGATGGTTGTTTGACATTCTTGCAGTTTTCCTAGTGGGTTATAAAGGGTAAGGGAAAATTTCATACATGCAAATTCCATTTAGGATAGAATTTGTAATGGAGCTATATAAACATACTTCTTGTGTCCTGGCTGCTATTTTCTGTATATGCTGCATTTAATTTTTAAGCACACGCATCTGAAACCAGAACCAGCATGACATTCCTCAATCTATGTTGTTTATATGATTTTGCTGTGGTAGTTCTTGAGAAACATAATAATCAGTCAGAAATGACTTTCAGGTTTCCAAAGCTTTTAAGCATGGGATTCTAATACTTTCTCTAATGGCTGTTTTGACTTTTCCTGTGCTGTGTGTTATAATTGTTTAGGACAGAAATACTTTGAATTTCCTACTGTATGTCCGAACAGCCCAGAAATAATATAGTACTTGATGGGATGAAGCTGTTCTTCATGTTCCTGCAAGTTCTGTCAGAGAATGCATCTGGATCCATTCAACCACGTTCAATGTTTTTAAATGCCAGATGAGAGCTTCAGAAGAGCCCCTTGAGGAAGGAGAAATGACATTTGCTGTGCTCTGCTAATATCAACTCAGGAAGAATATATCTGGCAACACATTTATCCTGATAAGCATGATGATAGAAACAAAATTTGTTTAAGCATTGGCTGCATGTATTTATTGCTACATCTGTATACGGGCTGTCAGGTTGCATCAGAAAGGCCATAACTGAAGACAGTTGCTGGGAGTAGGTTATGTAATGAGATCAAGCCAATGAAAGTCTGGCATCCAGCTGTAATTCTGCTAACAATGTGAGGAGATTGCTTACCCACCCAAGTCAAGGGTATTTTTTTTCTTTTTGGTCACTGTTCATGAAATTACATTGTTATCCCCTTCAGCTGTTCAATGAGCCCCTAGAAAAATGAATAAAATGTATAAAAATGGGAGGGAAAAGGAGAAAGGCCTTAGGCTGTAGAATTTATGACTTGGAGAACTCAAGATTTTTATTCAGGTAAATTTCTTAAATAGAAAAGGACCACAGAGTCTTGGGCTGTTCTGAAATAAATATGCCGTTCTAAGTTTATGGGGTTCACAAAACCCCATAGTATTGTTACTTTCATTCTCACACATATAAGACACTAGTCTTTAGAATGGCCTGAAAAAATCATTGAAATGAGGGCAATATAAAAAAGTAGTGAAGCAGGGATTGCTTAAGTGAAAGTTAGTAGGTTTTCAATCACTTTAGTTTCACAATTTGACACTATTAAGGCTAATATATAGGTGCCTGCCAGCACAGCTACCATTAAGAATCTATCAGTATTTCCATTATAAATCCCATTTTTCAGGGGTTAATAACTTAGTCATAAAAATTCACTGCAGGCTGAAAGAAAATCTTTTTTCTTAATCTCAGCAGAAGGATTTGTTCATATTTCTGAAACAGAGATGGTCAGAAACCAGAAAAGAGAGAATATGTGTTTTATTTGGTGCTCTCCGGAGAAATAGAACCAATCATATATTCATAAATATATAGAAAGGCATTTATTGAGAGAAGCTGGCTCACGTGAGTAGGGAGGGTGAGTGGCATAGCTTCAGTGCAAAACCAAAGACTGGGGAGCAGAGGAGGCAGTGGTGAAGGTTCCAGGAGACTGACGTACAAGAGTAGGAGAAGATGGATGTTCAGCTCCATTTCCTCTTTTCCTTATCTTCAACCCTCTCCCTCTCCTTCTTTTTTTTGTGTCATTGGCCTGAGTCGAAGTGGCTCCTTCTAATGTGATCTACATTTGGACATTGGTCGGTGGAGAAAGAGGAAGGAATTTCTGTTTATACTTAAGGTGAGAACTGTGTGTAGGTCCTGTAGCTCTGAGTATCTTTCCCTTCTAGAGCGCTATCATGTCATCACAGAAACATTACACTCAGAAACACTGTGAAGTTTAGTTCCCTACATTGGGAAAGCGGTATGCTCTTCTTTTGTGGCTGAGTTGAGGAAACTGATCCATCAACCCACGATGTGTTTGGCTAGTCAGCAAAATACGTACGTGTTTTTCCTACACTTATTAGGCGCTTCATAACTATTGAGGGGTGCGATATCAGTACAGTAGGTCTGCTGAAGAATTCAGTAATTCTAAACATTGTTACCCATGAACTTTTAGATCTAGCTTATTGTCTTATTCAGAGCTTTACCTCTCCCGGAGCATCTTCATAGGAAAATGCTAGTCTATTTCAGCACCAAACTTTTTTTTTTTTCCTAAAGCTATGTTATACTGAAAGTTCCTGCTTTCTTTTTATGGGAAAAATAGTCAACCCACCCTTGATGGTGTATCGCTGAACTATCCAACAGATTGTGGGAGTATTTTTCACACAACCTTACAGGCACTGAGTAAAAAAGAAAGAGAAAGCAAGACAGCTTTAACTGTGAGAAATGAGTCAAAATTTCAAACAATCTAGATGATGTTAGCAAATTAAGAAGAGAATTGGGCATCGCTGACAGCTAGTGTGGCATAAATATTCTCAAAACTCCCTCAAACTTTGCATTAGTGTGCGTGAAATTTTGACCAGTGTATACTGACTGTCTCCTCCCGCTAGAACGTGACTTAAAGATTTCCTTTCTTGCATACCCGAAGCTGCCATTCTTCATGTAGGTGTCTCAAGCTAACCTGGCCAACCTCCCAGTTACAAACGTGGAAGGATCTGGTATGTCTTGCTGCCCCCTACTGGTGACCAAAGACTGCTAGGCTTGGGGCTCGAATACAATTTTAGATTTGTTTGTTTAACGACAAAATTTGAAACGTATTTCTGAAGAGACCTTTTCATAAAATTGCTTTTTAAACCAGATAAACATTACACGATGACTTTGTTACTTTACAATTGGTGGTTTAGTTTTGTTTTTTGTTTTCTTTTTTTTCATATGGTACTGGGGATTGAACGTAGGACATTGCACATGCAAGGCAAGGGCTCTCTACCACTGCGCCACATCCCAACCTGATTCAGATGTTTAAACGTTTACTCTGACTTTGTTTTCCTTCGCGAATCTGTAAGAAATATCTTTAGTTCTCCTCATGATCTCTTCCTAAAACTGGCACTACATTACTGTACGGACAAAGCAATTTTTTCTACCAAAATTGCTAAAATATTTTCTTTCTTTGTACACATAAGCTAAGAGTTGATTTCTTAAGGGCTTGAACATAGTTCTTTCTCTAACCTGAAAACATGTATATAGGTGTATGGTTTCCTTGAAATAGATATAAAACTTTTCATATGTCAATGACATATTAATCTACTTATTAATCTACTTGAGAAGCCACAGCGCCATACCACAAGTTTAGGCGGCTTCAGCAGCAGAAATTTATTTTCTCACTGTTTGGGAGGATGGAAGTCCCAGATCAAGGTCACTGCAAGCAGATTTCTGGTGAGGTCTCCCTGGCTCGTGGATGACACCTAGAAGACCTCACTGCGCCTCCCATGGTGGAGAGGTAGAACTCTAGGGCCTCTTCCAGTTATAAAGGTATTAACCACATCAGTTTTGAAGCACACTCTTATGACCTTATTTAACTTTTGTCATCTCCTCACAGGCCCTTCTCCAAATGTAGATCCTTTGGGGGTCAGAGCTTCAGCAAATGAATTTTGTGGGGACCCAATAGTTCATCTATTACAAAAGATACGGTAGCATGTAGATTTTAAATAACTAAAAGATTTTCAATGAGTCAATTCAACTAATTTTTAAATACTGTATCATCGGCCAAGAATGAGTGAGGCAGGGATTGATATTACAGTGATAAGGCATGGTGAGATCACTATGGTGATCTGACCAAACAGAGGAGAAAATGGGTTTAAAGCCCAGACTAAAACAAGAAAACAAACAACCACCAAACTGGAATGCAAAGTACTAAATCATAGTACTGCCTTTAATTGCAAAAGAAGTTTGCAATTTCTCTGGACTGAGCAGAGAAATCTTCTAAGA